ATATAAAAGTAAATTCGAAAAAGGTTACATTGGATACTGGACGAACGAAATATTTATCGTTGATAAAGTAAACACCACATCACCTCCGACATATGAATTAATCGATCAAGACAAAGAACAAATCATAGGAAGGTTTTATCAAAATGAACTTCAAAAAACCTACTTTTAAAAATGAAAGATGAAGAATTTGATAGAAGATTAAGAGATGTAGACAAGCATCTACGCTTTCTTAAATGCAAATTTATGTTCAAAATATTATTGAATGTGTTTTATCAGAATGTAATACAATTTTTTTCAAACACAAACTATGTATATATTTAAAAAAACCGACTTTTAAAAATGAATGAATTTCTCGATAAATATCGAACCGATACAACCACAAACTTTCAACTTATGAAATGGGCGAATGAGTTAAATATATCACCGTTTTATTATTGTATGAGAGATGAAATAAATGATCTCAAATATAAGAAAGGTAAATTTTACGCTATAACAAATATACATACTTCCGATCAAAAAGGAGTTCATCATTCTGCTTTGTACAAAGACTCTGACTTTTATTTCTTCGATTCTTATGGATTAGAACCCACTGAAGAGATAATCCAATTGACTAATAAACCAATCAAATGTTCGGCATTTCAAATTCAATTACCGGGACAAAAGTTTTGTGGTCAGCTTTCACTTTGGGTTTTATATCAGTTGAGTTTAGGAAAACAATTCGAAGAAATTGTAATAAATTTAACTCAATAAAAATGGCGAATAAGTTTGGATTAGGTTCTTTATCTTTAGAAACTAAAAAACCTAACACTACAGCGTGGATAAATAAAGCGAAACCTTACTTTGTGGATCAAATCGGAGATACTCTTCAAGGTGATTTAGATATGAACAATTTTAGCATAACTAATTTAAAGTCTCCGGAAAATGATAATGATGCCATTCACAAGAAATATTTAATGTAACAATTAAATTTAATTGAAGTAAATAAAGGACATTAAACGAAAGAATAGGCGATGTGAAAAGATTCTTCAAACGTCAACTAAATAATAAAGATTTTA